AAAAAAAACCCAAATGAAAACCAAATTTAAAAATTTGTTTGGTTGGTGATGGTATATTATCAAATCCGCCATTATATATACACATATTTATATTTATACTGTATTTTTGTTTTTTTATATTGCATTCAATTTAAATTTTTCCAAGTATAATATTTAATCATAGATTCAGATTAGATATGTCATATTTATAAAATTATAAATATATTTTATTTAAAATCCCACTTGGGCAAATTTAAATAAAGTATTCATTTGTTCTTCTTTGTTGTTTTATTGTGTTTGGTTATTGTTATACTTTTTTTTTTTTTTTTTTTTTTTTTTTTTGATTATATTTTAGGTATTATGGTAATATAGGTGTTGATGATATTATAGTGATATTCTTTTTAATTAAATTTAATAAACATTAAAATAAACAAATAAATAAATAAAAAAATAAATAAATAAATAAATAAATAAATAAATAAATAAATAAACAAACAAACAAATAAATAAATAAATAAATAAAATAAATAAAAATAAAAATTAATCAAATAAATAAGAATCTTGTTTGTTGTTAGCTTTATAAATAAAACAAAATTATCAAATAGCACACACACACATGCACACCCTCGCACTAAAATGTGTATACATTAACTAAAAAAAAAAAAAAAATATACACAAAGATATATATATAATTCTTATTTCACTCATTCACATTCTAAACAGTTAGATTAAAATGGTTATAATAATAATATTTTATCTTTCGATTCTATCTCACGTGGATTTACACAATCACTCAAATCTACATCGTCATTAGAACACGTGTTTATCTTTTTTTTTTTTTATCACGCAATCTAAACAAATTTATATTTGGTGCATATTTATAACTTTACAAAATCTTCTTTAACTAACACTCCGCTATAACCACCCAATATATATCAATTAAATACACATATATGTATAAAGATAATAAAACAATAAAGGTTTGATTAAAGAAAATAAAAATAAAAATAAAAATAAAAAACAAAACAAAACAAAACAAAAAAAAAAAAAAATCGATTATATACACAAATTCAAAAATATCTTCCAAAATGTATAATATTTTCTCCTAAACATAAAATACAAAATGATAATTGTTTTAAATTACTATTTTTGTTGTTAATTGTTTTTATTTGTGATGTTGTTATCATTATTTGTTGTCGTTATTGTTAAATTATTATATTTTATTTTTTAATTTATAATATCATCATATACTACTTCTATTATACCACACACATAATTTTAAACTTTAAAAATACTAATATTAATATTATGTTTTTTCATATTATTTTTAACAATTGTTATTTTTAGAAAATGTTGGTAAAACCACCTTAATCAACTCATTTATTTTGGAAAGCTTTATGGAAGTTACACAAAAAGTTTTACCTGAAGTTACTATCCCTGCAGAGTTTGGAAATCAAATTTGTACAACTAGAATTATTGATACACATGACGATGGAAAAAATGGTAAAACTCAAATGAATATGGAAATTAGAATAGCTGATGCAATTGTAATTGTTTATTCTGTTGACCGTTTTGATACATTTTTAAATATTCGTATGAAATGGATCCCATTAATTAATCAATTAAGAGGTTCAAATGTAAGGAAAAAACACTAACAATTATTATTTGTATAATTTCCCAATACTAACAATTTCTTTTTTTTAAAAAATAGAAACCACCAATTATTATTGTTGGTAATAAATTAGATTTACATCAAGTTGAATTCGATGCAAACAAATCTCAAATTGAAGAAACCATTCAATACTTTAGAAGTACATATCCAAATACAATTCAATGGGTTGAATGTAGTGCTAAAACATTAGAAAATTTACCAGATCTTTTATACTCAGCTCAAACTTCAGTATTTTTCCCAGAACGTGTATTATATAATAGAGAGGAAAATAAAATGACAGAGGGCTGTGAAAAAGCATTAAAGAGAATTTTCAAATTATGCGATCATGACAATGATGGTTCACTCTCTGAAGAAGAAATCAACTATTTCCAAACTAAATGTGGCCACGAATCCATGACCTCTGATGAAATTCAAAATATTCAACAATTTGTTCTCTCAAAGATCCCAGATGGTGTTGACTCTAATGGCTTCACTGAAAAGGTTTCCTTTATATGAATTTACTTTTCCTTCTTAGAGGTCCATGCCAACATACTTTGGACTTCTCTTAGAGCCTTCCAATATGACGACGATCTCAATTTATTAGACGAATATCTCCACCCACAAATTAATGTGCCACCACAACACAATACAGTCCTCAGTGCTTCGGGTAATGCATTCTTTAAAGCCCTCTTTGAAAAGTATGATTCTGATTCCGACGGTATTTTATCAAGTCCAGATTTGGTTTCCTTATTTTCAACAACTCCAAGAATTCCATGGGAAATTGGTTTTGAAAAACATTTTAATACTGACAAAGATTCAAACTTAACATTATCAGGATTTTTATCATTATGGAAGTAAGTAAATCTATTTTCAAATAATTCAAAAGATCAAAAATATTAATATTATTTCTTTTGTTTTATAGTTTACAAACTTATGACGATTATAAAGTTACTTTAGAGTATTTAGCTTACTTTGGTTCCCAAACCGAACAAAATAATCTCGATATGATTGGTTTTTCAAAATCAAGAGAGTTGGATATCAAAAATGGTCAATTCTCCAGAAATATCGTAAATTGTTATGTATTTGGCGAAGAAGCCGTTGGTAAAACTACTTTTTTAAATACCTTTATCGGAAAAACTTTTTCTCATCTTTATAATCCAACCAGTAATGATAGTTTTAGAGTTTGTGGCCATTTATTAAAAAATAAATATTTAATTGTAAGTTTTATTCATTATTATTATTATTATTATTATATAATATAACATGGTAATATTAATCAAAAATTTTTAAATAGTTAAATGAATTTGTTGGTGATAAAATTCCAGCTACAGAGTTAAAAAATAAAGCAGATTTAGTTTGTTTATTATATGATGTCAATAGTGATCAATCATTTAAATTTATCGAAAATATATATAACCAAATCAAACAAAATCAATTAAATATTCCAATCTTATTCATCAAAACTAAAACAAATAATGCAACTACAGGTGGCAGTGGCAGCAGTCATACAGATTCAAAGGTAATTGAAAGCTTTTTCAAATCAAATAAAAATTTCACACCAAAAGAGTTTTCAATCTCTTCTTCAAACTCCATCTATCACGAGATGATGGAAACAATTATCAATAGTACCTATAATGTTCCAGCTAAACAAGAAAACAACAACTTAGCTAAATATTTACTTATTGCTGGTGGTATCGCTGGCGTTGGTTTTATAATTACAAAATATGTTTTAAAAAAATAATAACAATTTAATAATAATAATAATAATAATAATAATAATAATAATAATAATAATAATAATAATATTATTAACTATAATAATATTAAAAATATAATAATAATAAATATCTTTTTTTTTATTTTCAATTATAAATTTAATAATTTTATAATATAATTCTAAAAAAAAAAAAATAATTAAATATTTTAAATAAAATTTAATTAAGATAATAAAAAAAAAAAAAGAAATAAAAGTAATAGAGTAGAAATATTTAAATACATTTTTTATTTATTTATTATTTGTTTTTAAAGATAAAACAAATCCAATAGTTGAAAACCATTATTTATTGACGATTGTTTACTACGCCCTATAAATAGATTTGGTAAAACTTGTTTTGCTTTTGTATTCATATGAAACGATATCATTCCTTGGTCGGCTAGTTGGCAAATAATTAATGGATGTTGAATATCTTCTGCTAAAGGTTTGATTGATGGTGAAAATCCGGTGCTTGATGTTATAATACCCACTATTGGTGACTCATCTTTTATTATCGATTTTAAATTCTCTTCATTGCCAATAATTTCATATCTTTGAAAGGTAGATTCAAACTCTCTAAGAACTGAAGGTCCTACTTTTTTACCACTAAAATTTTTACATTGACCTATAATTTTAATCTTTCTTTTATCTGGTAATATCCATTCTCCTTCAAAATCTTTACCTTTGTCGTCTCTTCCACCTGTTCTTTTTAAATTCATTCCAAATCCATTAAATATTTCAACTGTTTTTAATTCAAAGCTTTTTCCTTTCAAATGGTTTGAAATTTGATTGTTTAAAATTGAATTATTATTATTATTATTAATAATATTTTCGTTTGATTCCTTTTGTTTTGGTTTATCTTTTAATTTAACCATATTATCATCCAATGCACCTAATTCTTCAGAAAGTGGATATCTGCTTTTATTTTCTTTTTCTTGTACCTGTACATTCTCTTCAAGTTTGTTTTTCTCTTTCAATCTTCTGAGCTCCTTTAATTGCTCCAATTCTTTTTCTTTTCTTTCAATCTCGTCTTCAATGTTATATTCGATCGCTATTTTGATGCTATCATTACTTTTTTTTGATGTTGGTAATGCAGTTATTTCAGCTTCTTTTTCTTCTTTTAATGATAAAACTATATTTCTATTTCCATTTTCTTTTTCTTTTTCTTTTTCTTTTTCTTTTTCTTTTTCATTTTCATTTTCATTTTCATTTTCATTTTCATTTTCATTTTCATTTTCATTTTCATTTTCATTTTCATTTTCATTTTCATTTTCATTTTCATTTTCATTTTCATTTTCATTTTCATTTTCATTTTCATTTTCATTTTCATTTTCATTTTCATTTTCATTTACATTTTCAATTTCATTATATTTCTTTAAAGGTGATTTGGTTATTTTGGTTATTTTGATTTTTCTTTTTTTATCTTTTTCTGAATCTACATTATTATCTTTATTTTCCTCACTATTAAATATTGGAGTTTCTTCCTCTTCTTCTTTTAAATTTATTTCTTTTTTAATGGATTTTGGTGATGAGTCATTGCTTTCACCAACTTTTAATAGTTCATCTTTGGTTTGATTATCATCATTGATAGTGAACCATACTTTTGATTTCCAATTTTTTGTTGTTGGGTTTGGTAATGAGGATAAAATATCTTCTGTTGAAAATTTTATATTATTGTTACTATTGATAGATCTATTATTTATGGTTGAATTATCATTTGTATCTATATTGTTATTATCTTTGTTATTATTATTATTATTTAAATTAAATCCGGTAATAGATGATTTTTTTTTATAAAAAAACTTTGATCTAAATCTGTAGTTTATTAATTTACTTTGATTAGCTTTAAACATATTATTATTAATAAAACAAATTAAAAAAAAAAACTAAAAAAATTTTTTTTAAAATTTTAGTTTAAAAATTAAAAAAATTTATTTCCAGTTTATTTTATAACTTTTTATCACACTATTTGTAAAATATTTATTGGATTTTATAAAATGTAATATAATTATAGTTTTAATATATATTTAAAAAAAAAAAAAAATAATTAAAAAAAAAAAAAAAATTAAAATAAAATAAAATTTTTTTAAAATTTTTTTTTTTTTTTCGTTCGACTTTTAAATAAATAAACGCATTATTACAACCTAAATTAAATCATATTTAATAAACAAATAATTTAAAAAAATGTCAAATAAAAGTGCCAATAGTAAAAATAATAAAAATAAATCACTTAAATTTCAACCAAAACATAAAGATAAATCATTTGATAAAGAAGATTTCAATGCATTAAGCAAAGGATCAGCCACATCAGAACCCGAAATCACAAAGGGTGAAGAAAAACATAGAATTATGGCAAAATCATACCCAATTAAACTATCAATGTGGGATTTTGGTCAATGCGATAGTAAGAAATGCACAGGTAGAAAATTAGAACGTTTAGGTTATATAAAATCAATTAATTTAACACACAAGTTTAAAGGAATCGTTTTAACGTATGTAATACTATTGTTTTATAGTTACATTAATTATTAATTATTAATATATTTATATATCTATTTAATTAAATTAATAGTCCTTCAGCAAAACAATCTATTTCACCTGCAGATAAAGATATTGTTCAACAATTAGGTGTTTCAGTTGTTGATTGTTCATGGGCTAAATTAGATACAATCCCATTTGGTAAAATGAGAGGTGGACATGATAGATTATTACCTTTTTTAATTGCAGCAAATCCAGTAAACTATGGTAAACCATTCAAATTAACTTGTGTAGAAGCTGTTGCTGCATGTTTATTCATTACAGGTTTCATTCAAGAGGGTCATCAAATTTTAGGTGGTTTTAAATGGGGTTCATCATTTTATAAAGTTAATAGAGATCTTTTGGAACAATATCAAAAATGTACCAGTAGTCAAGAGGTTGTAAATGTTCAAAATGAATTCATAAAGAAATGTGAAGAGGAACAAATCGCAAGACAAACATCTCACCAAGAAGAAGATGAATATGGTTTAATGTCAAATCCAAACAGAGTTGCAAATGGTTTTAACTCAAACTATATGAATGATGACGATGAAGAAGAGGATCTCGATGCCGATTATTGCGATGACGATGAAGATGAAGAGTATGACGATGATGAAGATCATGAATGTGATAGTGATTGTGATCATGATGAAGAAGAGGAAGAGGAAGAGGATGGGGAAGAAGAGGAGGAAGAGGAAGAAGAACATAATGAAAATCAAGTTGAAAATGAAGAGGATGATGAGGAAGAAGATGATGAAGAGAATGAAGAAGACCAAGAAGAAGTTGATGAAGAAGAAGAAAAAAGACAATATAGATTAAAGAAAGAGTTACAAAAGAAAAAAGCTGAGGAAAAGAAATTACAAAAACAAATGGAAAAATTAAAAATCAAAGGTAGAAAATAACAAATAAATAAATTTTCGTGTAAAAAAACTTAATTTTATTTTTTAAGACCAAACATCGAGGATGTATCTTTTTTCTTTTATTAAATTAGTAAACATATCTACAGCAATTTTTTCGTCGACAGATGATTCTTGTTTTATGATATCAATAAAGCTATTTCTTACACCAACAGCCATACCCTTAGCGTCACCACAAATATAAACAAATGCATTTTTGTTTATAATTAAATCATAAAGTTCTTTTGAATGATTTTTCATTTTTTCTTGAACATAACCACAGGTGACCTCTAAATTTGGGTCTTGATGATTATTGATATCTAATTCTCTAGAGAAGGCGGTTGTTAATTTAGTTAATGTACTATCTTGGAGCATTGAATGTAAAGTATCTTTATAAAGGAAATCTTTCTTTTCGCTTCTGCAACCAAAGAATAACCAAGTAAGTAATGGTTTAGTTTCAATATTGATTTTAGATAAATGTTGTAAGAAACCAATGAATGGAGCAACACCAGTACCTGGACCTATCATAATAATTGGTTTTGATAATTGATCTTCAGATGGTAAATGGAAATGTGGTGAAGATTTTAATTGGAATGGAATCTTTGTAATAATATTGTTGTCGCTATTGTTAATATTTAATTCTGATAATGATGATTCAATTGATTGATTTGGTAACTTGTTTTGTTGAATACCAATCTTCTCTAACCATGAAGTACAATGACCTAAAACTCTTTGTGAAGCCTTATCATTTAATGAAATATTGAAATCTACTACCGAAAATACAAATGAAATTTTACCAGCTTCCAATGAGAGTGGTGATGACGAAATACTGTAATCTCTTGGTGCTAATGGATTTAAAATATCTAAAAGATGGGCTAATGGTGGTGAAGATGTCTTATATTTCTCTAATAAACATAATAAAGTGGTTCTATCATTAATCATTTGTGCATACTCTTCTTTTCCCTCTACTGATGAAAGTTTATTTAATTGTAACTTTTCATTTGGATCACTTGAGTGTTCTGCTAATAATTTTAATAATTTCTTTGATGGTATACCAGTAATATCTAATAAATCTCTAAATATATTATAAATTGTATTTCCATTTGCTTTAATTAAATGATTTGGTAATTCTAAAAATAAAATAAAACATTAATATTAATATTTTATGTTATATTACATATGTATATATAATATTTACCATATTTTGAATCTAATGATTCTATTTTAATAACTTTGTTTTCATTTAATTGTAATCTACTAATTAAGGTTTTAATTTGATAGTCTGGGTTTGGAGCATAAACAGCAACATAGTCACCTGGTTGGTATGAGGAATTGGTATCATTAAGATCTAATGTCATTTCAATAACTCTTTTAATATCAACTTGAGATTCACTGTCATTACTATTATCTGTCATATATCTTGCGGATACAATTGTAGCAACTTGTTTACAACCCAATGACTCCATATTATCTCCATTGTTATTATCTGAATCTAATTCGATTTTAATTCTACATGCTGGCAATTCATTTGCATTGGTTCCAGCTGCTCTTTTTAATACAATCTTTTTTTTAGGCTGGAGCTGAAGGTTGTGGTGGCGCTTCTGACATTATAAATTAAATTATTTTTTAATCAAAAAAAAAAAAAAAAAAAAAAAAAAAAAATTAATCAAAAAATCATTTAAATTTTTTAAAAAAAAAATTAAATTAAAAAAAAATAAAAAGAAAAACCGAATGATTAGGTTATTCATATGACAAATGGAAGCTTCCATCAACATAAATTTAGATATTATTTATAGAAAATTGGTGATCTATATTATTATTTATTATGTACAATTTTTTCAAAGATTCTTTATTTTTTTTACATTATTTTTTTTACATTATTTTTATTCGTTATTTAAAATTAAAAAACTAGGGTGAATATTATATTCTAATCTTTTTTGGTGGATTATAGATTGAAATACCCATTGAGTCGAGACTATAGGGACACCAGCCTCTGAAGATATTTTATGGAAAGGGGTATTTGTGTACCTATCATCTAAAAGATAGACATCGGTCTTGCTTATGGCAAACATACGCTTAACCACCTTGGCACCACATTTCCTTAAGATTGGAGACCAGTCATCTATGAATGAACTGTTTCTATCTTGTGTTAAAATTTCTATTTTAAAATTAGAAAATAGCTTATTTATATTAAAATCCTCAGTTGGATATATGGGACTTTGGGTAAATACAGATTCACCAAATGGTAAAATATAATTTTCAAAAGGTTTTAACTTTTCAGGTTCACCAAAATCATATATCCAATCGACTTTGATACAATCAACCCCTTCTACTATACCTCATATATATATAATTGTAAAAACCGATTCAGATGCCAATATCATCTTGTTTGGAATTTTACCAATAAGTTTATCACTTATTGAGAAAAAGGTATTTATGTTGTCATAAACTTTTCCGCCACCAAGATTTATAAATTCAGAAATATTTTCTATAAATAAAAAACAATTAATACATAATAACAATAGATGAGTTTTATATAAGAAAACTTACCTGCATCTTTATCTAAACCACATAATAAAAAATTAAAACCTTTAAGTAATATTGTTTTTTTTAATTTCTTTTTTTTAGATTTATTTCTATTAGAAATATCCCCATTTTTATTATTGTCATTATTATTATTATTATTATTATTATCATCATTATTATTATCGTTATTATTATTATTATTATTATTATTATTATTATTATTATTATTATTATTATTATTGTCATTATCATTATCATTATTATTATCATTATCATTATCATTATCATTATCATTATCATTATCATTATCATTATCATTATCATTATCATTATCATTATCATTATCGTTATCGTTATCGTTATCGTTATTATTATCGTTATTATTAAATTCGGCCTCTTGTTCAGATTCTTCCGTATCTAAATCAATAATTTCAGCACCACTATATTCTTTTACACTAACTTCGGTGTCACTATCAAGTATTATATAACCTTCTTCATATTGTATCTCTTTTTTTAATTTTGATTCGCCTGAACCGTGTTCCCAATTTTCTGGCCAAATTTTATTATTTATTTCCCCAAAAACATTTTTATAAATAATTAGAGTATGTTCATATCGTTTTGATAATAAATTGTTTTCTTCTTCATCATCAAAATTAATTTCAAACATATTTCTATTAGGGTCTGTGTTTAATTTCGTCTCTATTAATTTTAAAAAATCATCATAGTTTCTTGTATCTAGAATATGATGTTTATAAAATTCTAATAACTTTTAAAAAAATTTTATTAGTTATTTTTTTAATCTTTTTTTTAAAAACTTACTTACCATTGGTGGTGGTTGTAATATATTTGAGTCAAGATCGTTAGATATGACCCTTAATGAAATAAATTTGGCATACTCGGAAATCAGTTGAAAGTATAAATTGCCATCAAAACCTGTATTACGCAAAATAGAACTAAAATCTACTTTGTTAGTGATCTTAATAAATAATTCCTGTGCCTTTATTGTATTAAGATTTGACAATTGTTTTGAATTATCAACTTTACTTTTTTTAAACTCGGTTAGTTTACCGGAGTTTGGAAAAGACCTTCTTGTTGGTGGATTGTATTTTTCCAAATAAGTGTTGTAATTTTTAACCCCAGATGGCTTTGGTTTTTCTGGAGTTGGAATTCTACCATTAACATATGAATCTTTATCCATTATTTTTTAAAAAAATTATTTAAAAAAAAAAAAAAAAATATTATTCGTAAAGAAAGAAAAAAAAAAAAATGTGATTGGTGTTATTAATGTATTTGTTTGAAAAATAAAAAAACTATAATCTGTTCCATAATTCTGAAAAACAAAGTTTATCAATTTATATAATTGTGAATCCAAACCGATTTTAAAATGAACAGTTTTTGGAGGTTTTCCATTTCTTTCTATTTGACACTTTATTAAAATTTGAGTTGACGATGCTTGTTCATTAGGATCTTCTCTATTTTCTACATTATTACTTAAATTTAAAGGTGTACTTACATTGATATTCTTATTACCAATTATGTTATTACTAATCATATTATCAATATTATTATTATTATTATTATAATGTATGATGCTATCATTACTTGAATATATAATAGTAGTACTATTACCATTACCATTATCATTACTATTATCCATAAAATCTGATTTGTTTATATTTTTTTCTATTTATTTTTCTCTTTCCATTTCTCTATATATTATATTCTTTGCTCTATGATGCCTTTTATTTCTGTCGTTATCATCTTTTTCTCTATTTTGTAAATCTTTTTCTTTTTGATTTAATAATGAAGATTTCTTGTCTAATAATTTTTTTTGCAATTGTAGCAACTTTTTTACTACCTAATGATTCTATATTATTGCCATTATCTGAATCTAATTCTATCTTTATTCTACATGCTGGCAATTCATTTGCATTGGTTCCAGCTGCTCTTTTTAATACAATCTTTTTCTTAGATGGAGCTGACATTATAAATTAAATTATTTTTTTAATCA